TGCTGAGTGCGAGCGAGCGAAGCAAGCTGGCAGAGGCTCACACACACACACATACACACACACACGTGCGCGCCATCCAGCACACTCAAATGCCTCCTCAGCTTCACAGAGAGAGATCACCTCCCACCTCTTCTTCTTCTTCTTTCCAAAACCGAGCTCTCCCCCCACCCACCTTCTCATCTCAGCTCCTCACTTCATCACCTCCGTCCGCGTTCACTCGCAGACATGTGCCCGTGCGCCCGGGCCGCACGTTCTCACGCGAGCACACTTCAGACAGATCAAGTCTCACCCTTCCACGGCTCCAACCTTCTCTGGCCTTTTGGGAGGAGAGAAAGGGAATCGAATAAATAGAAGAAAAAAGAGATGGAATCTCCAGCATCCTCTCCTGCCCCTCCTCACCCTGGGTTACCGAACTCACACTCACACAGGCACGCACAACTTCAGCTCACCTCCCACCCCCCACCCCCCACCCTTACCCCAAGGCATCCCAGAGTGCTCTCTGGTGGGAGGATTTAGAGGTACCCTGTAATTTTGCTGCCGGAGGAGCTTTTAAGTCCCGCCTGATCTTCTGGGCTACACAAGGCAGCCGACGTGTACACGTGTGCATGTTGCGTTCGGGGCTCGCGTTTGTTTGTCCGCACGTACATGTCGGTGTGTGTTCGCTCGAGTCTGTGTCCGTCTCCTCTCCCTCCGTGCCTGTGTTTTTCTGTGTGTATGTGTGTGTGTGTGTGTATGTGTGTGTGTATAGTGTGGCTGTGTGAGCAGTTTAACCAGGATGAAGGAGAGCAGCTCCCCCTCTGGCAGCTGGGGCTGTGCAACAGTTGTGTGCAGGGAGGGTGGGGGGGGGGGCGGCTGACCACCACAGACCTCGACGCCGTCTGCCTCCTGCGTCCCCACGCAGCGGGAAGCAATCAGCAATATAACGTTTTTAGCGATTGGAAGAAGAAAAAAAAAACAGAGAGGAAAAAAAAAAGAAAAGAAAGTAGGTCCGCTCTACAGAGAGAGAGATTAGAAAATCAGCTGTGTCCACCTTCATCAGTCCAAACCACCATTTGCTTCAAGCCCCTAAATTCAATACTGGATCTAGAAAATGGCAGGGAAAATGTGCGCGTCAAGCGCCCAAGCTACGACAATTTTATATTGTCTGTCAGATTTTATTATGGAAAGGCGGCGCGTGGAAGGAAAACTTCAAGACACACCAGCCAAACTGAGAGTTCCAATTTAAAGGGAGATGATGAGAGGGGTCTGAATGAGCATCGGACCTGCAGAGACCGGGCCGTGCAGGCGAGACGGGGAGCGCCGGGGGTTTGGGGGTTGATTACTGATTTCCATTTCTATTCCAGGGACAAAGAAATGGAAGTCTGATGGGCTTGGACATCTATTTAGATCCATTTCATTCCACCATAATCAGGCTTTAGCCATGCCCTAATACTGAGGATTAGAAAAGGTTCAAAGTGCAAACATCCAGATCCCCTCGTATTATTCCAGTCTGTCAACCTCGGTCTGTATGTGTTTTTCTACTTTTCTGGTGTGCGTGCGTGTGTGTGTGTGTGCGTGTGTGTGTGCGCGCGCACATGCATTCTTGCATGCATGCCAGATCTGCCGGGGAGGGTTATCTCCAGAATCAGGCACATAGACCTAATCTAACCCTCTCTGTGCTCGTTCAGGAGTGAAATATTTTGTGCAAATAGGCTCCCTTTTGCTCCTCAGCACTTCCATTCTGGTCCGCTAATGTAAACAAAAGAACCCCGACTGGGGAAATAGCCCGTTTGAGGAGCAGCCGTCTCTGTTGTGATGCTCTGTTTGACACGGGCTCCCCCCCCCACACACACACACACACCTGACTCGCCCGCCTTTAGCTCGGCGGATGAAGCATCTCCGGGTCGTCTGCAGTTTTTTTTCCCTCTATGTTAAGCGTGACCCCCATCCCAAAGCTACGCCTGTTTATGCGCTTAGCCTTTTTTTTTTTTTTTTTTTTTTTTTTTTTTTCTTTTTCTTAATTTCTTTTTGGAAAATGTGCACATTATTAGCGGCGGTTACTGTGACTACCCCGGTGCCTGCTTTGCTCGTCTGAGTGGAAGTCTGAATGCTGTGGAGACCGGGGGAGGAGGGGGCGGTGTGAGAGGTAGCCAATGAATGTCACCTCTCATCCACTTTCTCATTAAACAACCTGCTCTCTGTCTGTCACATGGGCTGCATCCATCCCCTCGTTCTCTGCTTTGGGGCAGATGTTGCGCGTGCGTGCGAGAGAGCGAGTGTGCACGCGGCCCATTTGAGAGGCAGGAAGCCGGCCCCCCCCCCCAAACCCCCCCCCAGGCTGGACAGGAATAATAAGCAGTAGATGATTCATGATGGAGATGGGGAATGTATTCAGCAGGACCACCTGAGTGACCTCATTTAGTAGACCTGAGAATAAATATAGAGCACTGCATCGCACTCTAGCCTCAGCACGTGTTGTCTTGGCCAGTCAGCACCGTGTCCCCCCCCCCCACACCCACACCCCCACGCACATACATCTCCCACTCCTCTCCTCGGAGCACCTCGGGGAGCCGTCCTTCCTCCCTGCCCCGAATGTCCTTGTGAAGTGTGTGTGCACGGGTGGATTCTAAGAGAGCATTTTCACATATGCATGTTAATGTGTGTGTGTGTTTTTTTTAGGTTACTGGTATGTGTGAAGTGCTCGGACAGGAGCCCTCCTGTCCATGCCAGCTCTTTCTCATGCTCACGTGTTTGCGCTGTACATATTTCCCAACATCAACATTTGGCACCTGGTTTCTCTTACGACTTCAGCAGCTGTAGATCTTTTGTTCTCCCACCAGCCACTCTGTGGCCAACGATCCACACCCACAAAGAAGGCCTTAAATCATACAGAAAGCCCTTCGTCGGAGCCAACTGCTTTATTTCCAGAAAGCAGCATTCCTTCATGCAATGACCAGTTCTTTGGGTATTCCGGACGGCTGAGGCTGAGCCAGTTTGTTCCACTAAATCATTAGCAGCAGACCAGGAGTTTCTTTGTTCTCGGGGCCTGCCGTTGCTCTATCCCCCGGTGGTTTTATCTCTGCCGAGACACACAGGAAGACCCAGTTCCCCAGTTTCCTCTTTCCAAAACACGACATGACCGTCGGCCGTTTAATATCTGGAAATCCAGATTTGGATTAACGTCAGTCTGACGGGATGAAACGAAAGAGAGGGTTAGAGAGGGGAGATGGGGGGGGATGAATGAGGGGAAGAGAAAAGAGAAGCAGAGGCTTTTAGATTACACACAAAAAAAAAACTAAACCGATAGCGTGTCCTGGTTGTTGAGGGAGTTGAAAACGTGGCTGGCACAGTTTTTTTTGCGTGATCTCTGACATGATAGATGTGAACACAGTGATTTCAGGCGGGAGTAAAAAAAAAAAAAAGAAGCAAACAAGGAATGCGCGGGCGCTTAACCATCTGCGACTTTTATTTAAAGATTTACCGCGCGTCGCCTTTGAATGCTCTCGGCAGCCGAGATTTCCGTCCTGAATGGCGCTGGAAAGATGGATTCCCATACGGAAATGTGCTCCGGATTGGACACGGCTAATCGGATTTGGAATCTCCAGCCGACGTCCAGTGAATGATGTGACGTTTCACACGACCCCCCCCGACGGAAACGACATGTGAAGGGGGGGCCGTCTGTTGAGCTCCGGAGCTCCTTCCGTTTGTTGGTTCTGAGCAGAAGCCTCGCAGGGCCAACTCATCGTCATGCCACATCAGTCATGCAGAGGCCTGTTCAACCAGCCCCGAGGAACGGCTCATTTAGATGACAGCAGCAAGTTAACACCGGGAAGCTTTGCTTCTCCCCGAGTGGATGTAAAATTCTCTCTTTTAGTCAGGTTGTTCAGTCGCCTCTGAACTTTATCTTCAAAGAGCCCCCTTTTTTTTTTTTTTTGGTGTAACTTCTCCCCGGTATTTTGGAAATCGAAAGAAGAGCTGAAATTGGATGTAAAACGGCTAGATGAGGTTAGCACTTCTGGCACCTTGCCGTCGTTGGATGTTCCTTTTTTTTTTAAAAAAAAGGAGGCCCAGCTCCCTGACAACAATCCACATAAATTTCCCGACTCACTTAACTGTGAGTGTTTGCTTCACATTAATGCCCCAAGTCGATTCTAAATCTAAATCTTTTTCTTCCCCCCCCTTTTCGGTTCCCGTGCAGCACTTGGCTCGGCCCGGCTCCGTGTATATGTTTCAATGTCCGGTTCACTCAGTTGTGTTGAGTCTACAGCAGCGGGGTGGGGATGGTGGGGGGGGTTTAGCCAAAGAGCTCCTTACCATGATGTTATCACAATCAGTCTCGCAAATTATCACGCACGCTTAGCAAAATGTTGTGGGCTCTGCGTGTAATTTAGAGGCTGAGAGTGATCTGATAATGTAACATAATATTAGTGCAATTCATTATTTAGTTTTCCTTAATTTTGCTGAGGCATAAAGCTGAAATCCCACCGGGCAACAGAATGTCAGCATTAATAATACTTAGGAATGACAGGGCATGAATCAACTAGATGAGCTTTTTCATTGCTGCGGAGCCAGATTTCAACACAGCTTGATACATGAGTTTATAGCAAGTAAACGCATGTAGAAACATGGATATACCATGCTTGTAGTGCCGTGTTTGGAGCCCCCCCCCCCCCCCCCCCAACTCAATGCCTGCAGCCAAGTTTGCTTCTCTTTGTGTCATCATTAGATAAGCACCCCCTCCAGGACTCATCTCATCATAATGAGGGTGCCATCCGAAACACTCGCCCTGGGAGATGGTCATTGAGTTAAGAGGGAGGGGAACAGGAGGGGTAGAGCCAGATACTGCAGATAAGAAAAAGGAAAGAAGAAAAAAAAAAACTAGCTAAATGAAGTGAGACCGTGACGGATAATGCGAGGAAGAGAAACAAAGGCATTTCGGAGGAAGGGAGTGCGTTGAATAAGCAGACTGAGGCAGAGATGGAGATCGTTTTGGGGAATTCCAAAATTAGAGCCGCCACCACATGCGCCCACGCAGGCGCGCGCACGCCCCGGCCTCGGGCCGCAGCGCTCGCCGTTATAAGGTCAGAGTCACACGCCGTCTCCCTGGGTCATTATCACGAAGCCCTAAAATAGACGGGCAGTCGCGTCGGGGCCCGCCGAGTGCCTGTGACACTGAGTAAACAGCCCCTCGTTCCGCCCAGACTCCCAACGAGGAGCTTCAGGAGAGAAAAAAAAACAAAAAAAGCCGGGACACGCGCGGTCCGGAGGGAGCAGGCCGCCGGAAGGACACGCACAGGCCCAACAAACTCTCACACACACTCAGAGTTCCGACCATGTTTCTCCCCCCCACCCACCACCCCCCCGGCCTCGGTAGACTGTAATGTTGTTCCATCCATTTGACTTCACTTTCTTGTGCTAATGAGAGACACTGTTGAGAGGGGATGGCGGCTGATTGAGGGCGAGGGCTGCTAATCACTGGAACAGCTAATCAGTGCTTGTCGTAAATATTGATTAGTTCTGTGCGTTCTGAGCGTGCTCATTAACCGGTTTGTCATCATCTCTCCTCCCCTGTCCTCCTCTCTCCTCCACCCCCCTCCCTTTTCTTCACCTCCATCCACTCGTTGCCCTTCCCCCCCCCCCCCCCCCCCCCCCCCCCCCACCCGTCTCTTTTTCCACATTTCCCCACAGCAACCTCCAACGGTACGGTGGAGGGCCTGGAGAACCGGGAGGGAGGCGTGTGCAAGAGCCGAGCCATGAAAGTCATCATGAAAGTCGGGCAAGGTAAACGTGCGCCCCCCCATTCACATGTAGAACACAATCCGGCGCTGTTGCCTGGAAGCCATGTTTCACTTTGGTGTGACATTTCCATTTATCGCCCCGTGTGTGCCCACCGCGACTTTGACCAGCGTCTAACGAGAGCCGCCGACTGAAATGGAAATAGTTCTGAGGGGAACAGGGTCCGCCGGTGTTAATGTTTCTGTGTCTTTGTTCCAATTTGGTCCCCAGTGTTCACACAAGTAGCTTCTGCTCTTTTTTTCTGTTTGTTTGACTGAAATCTGTAGTTTACAGAAGTTTTATTGGTCGCGCTGAGTGTAGATTATAAAAGTGGAATCATCTTTTAAATCCTGAAAAGAAACGTTGCACTTTTTGCTCATTCGGCTGTAACAAAACACTTTGAATTAGCTGATGAACGCATTATGATGTCGTTGTAAGGTGTGAGTGTCCCTCTGAAATCCGGATTATAATGATCAAATTCTTTAGGAATAGTTTATTTCTGTCCTTAAAATACAGTGGTTTAGGGACAGTAGTACTTTGAAAAGAAAAAAACATTTCCTGAAATACTCTCTCAGCTTTCAGACACATTTGTATTAATATATTAATGTACTTATCCTGAATGACTGATGCTGTAAAACTTCAATTTCCTTTTGACAAATTCAAAATGACACACTAAATATATAAATATGAATAGAATATACATGAACATGAATAAACCTTTTAGTACATTCAATTCAATATCTTTAACAGGCTGAAAACTTTACTGGAAATGATGCGGTTTATTAGAACTATATTCAATAAATAAGGCATTATATATATTTTATTTCAGTTTAGAAGGTGTTTGTGTCAATTAAAGTAATTAAAAAGGAAGCATTCAGAAAAGTAGAAATTCTGGGGGGTCAGGACTTGGTTATTTGGCCTTCCCTTTAAGACAATAGGGACATAGTGTGTTAATTATCTGTGTAATACTGGGTCTCTGGTTGTATTAGGTGATTGCAAGTAATCAATAACTAGGGCTGCTTGATGGACTGTGCCATTCGATTTTCAGGATTTGTGCGTCACCGCGATGAAGTGACCTGATTAATTGGAAATTGAATTCCTGTCTGGTTACGTTGGATATTACGTTTCCAGTTGCATTCTCGGTAAACGTACAGTCGCGCTGGTTCGATGCGGTATAGGGTTGCATAGGCCTATTCCATGATGGATGGCTTTATCCATGTTGCACGCCCCTAATGGTAACGTAGACATGTTGAATAAATCTTATGTATCCATGAACGGCTTTTGCAAATTGTTTAGAAAAGAGATCCCAAAAAAATAACAACCAAGTGACAGATGACTTGTGTAGAATAACTCCGCTTCCAAGTAGTATAATAGGTCTCTGATGTTCCACGACTATGATTCAAAGTAATCACAGAACGAGAGTGTGTTTGAAATTGGTATGTAAGTGCATGGCCGGGGTAAATCAGCTAAAAATGCGGGAAGTAAACAAGCGAGTTTTGTTTAGATATCCACGGACTCAGCATGTGGTTTAGATCACAAGTTTCACTTTTACATGTAGCTAAACTCACCGCGCGCACATCCGCGTCCCGGGGTTGACAGGGTACAGTACACAGATGTGTTGCTCCGTAAACACTTCCTCCATCCTCGGCGTGGTTGTTTTGACCCAAACAGACACTAACAGCCATCCCAGAGGAACATCTGCCCGCCGTGGTGATCTGATTCCAGACTAAAAGCTGGAGCTCGCCATGTCAAAAAATAAACCGAGGCTCGCCGAGGAAGCTGCAGAGTGTGTGTGTCTGTGTGTACGTGTGTGTATGTGAGAGAGGGAGCTAAATTGTCTGCAGATATTTTGATGTCGGTTGAGGGGGTGACAGCAGCGCATCCTGTGGCTGTCGTCGGGAAGAATGGAGGCTAACAAGCTGCTGATGCTAGCAAGGTGTGAGGGGAGAACATGTTCAGCAGAGGCTGTGAAAAGTCCCCCCACCAGCCAGCCCCCGCTAGCAGACAGCCAGCGCATTATCTTTCCATGTAGGTCAATTTGAGCATCTGACAGCCTGGGATTGCAGCAGCACGCCAGAGTGACAACACGGCCGCGAGATTGCGGGCGACGCAGGCGGCGGTAGCTCCAAACTATTAACTGCTGGAGAAAAAAAAGAAACACAAACCATCCCGCGTTGGCGCGGTAATGGAAGTTGAAAGGAAATGCCTTCAAAACAGGAAGTTTAAGGAAAGCCGGCTCTCAGCCGGGGCCCCCTTCTTCTCGCGACTCCCGGAGCCGGTTCCTTTCGGGTCGCCAGAGCAACGCACTGGTTTTCCCGAAAGTGGTGCGCGGCGAGCTGTCGTTCACAATCAGCGTGCCCTAAAAACCCCGTTAGAAACGACGCTGTCGGCCCCAGCTGCTTCCACTTTTAAATCTCTTTCTGTGGGTGGAATTTCTGATGCATAACGTGCCCATCCAGCCCAGTGGCTATTTGAAGAAGGGCTCTGAGAAACTGCAGCGTTGACAGCGACTTTGATTTGGCTGCCAGTCACAGTTTCTAAGTGATTGTTTTTCCTGAAATCTGAGCGAAGTTTCCATTGATGCCATCTGCACACACGCGGGGCCAATATTTTTTACTATTCGCATTAATCTGCTGATTATCGCCGCGGCGGAGAGCGCTGAAAAGTGTCCAATGTAATTTGTCAAGTGACCAAAGTACTTAAAATATTATGATAAATAAAGTAATAAAGTAGATTATATTTTGATACTGTGATAAAGTTCATAACATTATAATAGTGCGATAAAGTAGTATAATAAAGCACATTATACTTTATTGATTTCAAATTACTTTTTATGAATCTTTAATTCTATATTTCAAAGAATAATCTTTCCATTTAATTTTACAAAATGCTGTTTAAATACATAAAATGTATAATTTGATTAATAAAACACATACAGATCCCATACAATTTTCATGGACCCACAATTACATATAATCGTATTCCATAACTTATTTTGCTGACGGCATACTTTCAGTATCTGTTGCATCTTTTTTCATATTGACAGAAATTCATTAACAACAATTCTGTTCACAGACACAAGCCATGTTGAAGGGGAAAAAATTCAAATTGATTGGGAGAACAAGTTGTTCTCAGGGGTTCGTACCTGAAATATGAGAGTTTTCTCAATTTGTTTAGCTTTTTCAGGAAATTGGAGAACTTGTGCCCTGGTCGAATCTCAGCATCTTTCCCCTAGAATTTAAATCAAATAAGAGAAAAATCCAAACCAAACTAATCAATAATGAAAGCAGACATTCCTGGCCGCCCCGGGCTCTACCTTCTGTGGCCGCGCACTCTTTTATTTCTTTTTTCATCAAATGCAATAAAAACCAAAGCTGTTGCCCGGCCCTGACCCCAGATGTGATTGTGTGTTCGGCTGGCGTCTCCTCTGTCTCTGCAGCCCGACGCCTTCTGCTCGCCAAATCCCTGAGATCCTCCCGTATGTCCGCTCTGGGCTCCTCGCGCTTTAAGACGTGGAGTTTTCACTCCCAGTGAAACACGCTTTGAATGCTACATTCGCAAACGCGTCTGCATTTAATTGTGCCAACACTCTCGGGCATTATCACATTGACTCATCTGTCTGTGGCAGTTTTCTGTTCCAGGAACAGACGACGCCTCGTCACTAATTGTGCTTTTAACGCTCGCGTTTCATCTTTTGTCTGTGAAACAATACGAAGTTTGAATAAACAAAAAAACAAAACAGGAAAAAACGGATAGGAATAGGAAGCGAATATTCTCTACAACCCCCCCCCCCCCCCTCCGTAACAACCCCATGTCAACGTGCTCATTAGAAATATGTTGACTCACGCATCTCTCTCTCTCCTCGTGTTTTCCCTCTGCCTCCCCCTCCCAGCATCCGCTGTGTCTCTTCTCTATCACTCGATCATCATCACCCCCCCCCCCCCCCCCCCCCCCCCCCCGTCTTCTCCCCCCTTCTGGCGGGCTGGCAGTTCTGAGGGTACTCTGCTGTCTGCACAGCTAAGGGAAATGTCAGCGACGCAGGCAGGAAAAATGGGTCAGAACATTAGAGCGCGCCCCGCACATGCTCAGTGGCCGCCCGCCGCCGCGTTGAGGCCGTGCGCGCGGAGTGAGTCAGATCAGTGCGTCCGCTCATATCCGCCGCCATGCGTGAATGTTCCCACTTCTCACTCCTGTCTCCTCTCATCAATTATTGACGGCGCACAACAGCTCACGGCTAGGTTCACCACGGCCGGGATCAGTACGGACGCCGAGAGGATGGAGGAGCGGGTCGGAAGAGGCGGGTGTGTGTGTGTGTGTGTGTGTGTGTGTGAGCTCAACCGGTGGATTCAGCCATGAATTAACTCCACATTCATCTCCTTATGAGACTTTTGACTATCTCGTCAGGCACGCCACAGCCAAATCCACTCAAGACTTAGCAAAAAGCTGGTTGGAAGTCACGACCACACACACACACACACGCACGCTCGCCACGGGGGACTGGAATACAAATTGCCTCCCCACTTCGCCCTCCTCTCCTTTTTTCCTCACGCACACACCCCTGGAGCAGGCCTTCGGGCAGACGCGCCAAAAGTCCCGGCAAAAAAAAAAAGAGAGAAGCCTCTGACGGAGCGCTGTGGAATCCGTCCGGCCGCTCCGTTAACGGCGTGGAAGCGTCTCCCGTCAGTGTTTACCGCACAAAGGCTTCAAAGTGTGTGTGCCGAAATCACAACAGACAGTCAGATAAACTGTCTGTTTCCTTTGCGCTCTCCAGCCCGCCCCCACCTCTCCTCTCCTCTCCTCTCTTCTCTTCTCTGCACCCACCCCCAATTTTCTTCCTGTCCTCACATTATCTCCCCCTCAGAAGTGTGTCTACTCCATGCAGACTCAAAGCCAGAGCAATAAATAAGGCATATTATGGCCTTTTAACGTGATGAATAATGTAAAACAATAAAAAGTTAATATATAACTACTTTACCCCCATTCTGCCAAGCTTAAGTGTATTGTAAGTATATTGTAGGTGTGTGCTTGCGTGTGTGTGTGTGTGTGCAGGAGGGGCGTGCGTGCGCGCGTGCGTGTGTGTGTTTGTGCTGGAGTGTGTTGCTCTCCCACAGATGTGTCGGTGTTGGAGATGCCTGTCTGAGTGTTTGCTGAAGGAGCTGCTGATGTAGATGTGAGCTCATTTTTTACGACAGGACAGGGATACCGGTGTGTTTCACAGACGTTCGCAGATTCGTCCTTCCTCTCTTTGTGCTTTCATCTCCCCTCTCCCGGCACACTTTCCACGCTGGCACAGATAACCTTCTCAGTGTATAAAAGATATATCAAAAGATAATAAAAAATAAAAAAAAAATCCCCCAGCCATCGTGTAGAGTGAGTCGTTGTAATTCAGCTCAGGCAGGGCCCTGCCAGGACTCACTTTCTGTGTGGTATTTATTTTTTCCTTTTCTTTTTTTTGTTATTCCCTACAGACGCAAACACAGGGAACCCCTCCGCCCCGGAGGGCCCAGAGGACAACGCCATACCGGAGTCCAGTCCCAGCCCGCCCGACCAGGGTCAGATCGGACCCGTGTTGCCAGGAAACTCCGGTGAGCCCACCGAGGGGAGCGGGTTTAACCGGGCTTTTTTCTAGTTTTCCAAACTGCAAGTGTTTTACTAAAGACAAAGGCCCCCACGGGCTCTCCACTTAGAATTAATCACATTTACCCTGACACGAGAAAAATAAAAATAATAGCGCGGCGCCTCACTGCGCGTTATCTCCCATGTAGGTTTTTCATGGCTGCAGGCACTCCTTCTCCTTCTGTATGTGGGAGGAGGGGGGGGGGGGTCAGCATGCTGAAGCACTTGTAAAACCACCACGCAAAATAAACCGAAACTCACCAAAATCCCGATGGCAGGGAAACCACGTGAAACCACACCCTAAACAAACACAGCTCGCCCTGAGTCACGGCGCTGCTGCACCCAGAGAGACAAGACAGAGCTCTTTATTAGAAGTGTTTTTTTTTTTAAATCGCATTAGACTTGCAGATAAATGGAGATTAAAGGGAGGGGTAATTGGAGAAGGCGCTCTGGGCCTTTCGCTTCCCGTCTTTACCTGCGCCTTTCTCAGCCACCTTCCACAGGAGGAACCGCTCCTCCTATTTTTAGCGCACTCCCCCCCCCCCCCTTAACGCTAACTTTTTAACTTACTCCGCAACTTCCATGCCACAAACTTCATCCGAGAGTCCAGACTGTTCCTGTCTGTCCCGGGCGTGATAAGCCCAGCTTATTTCATAATTGCTTATTTGACGTTAGTTCCTCTAAAAAAAGATTTCTCCCCTTATACTTTTTTTTTTTTTTTTTTTTTTTT